GTGCGCAGAAGTTGCCAACCTGTCTGCAGAGTCAATAGCTAAAGACTTTTGAACTTACGTGTGGCCTTCAGATTAGCACAACAACAGTGCGTAGAGAGCTTCATGGAATGGGTTTCCATGGCTGCAGCTGCATCCAAGCCTTACACCAAGTGCAATGCAAAGCGTCGGGATGCAGTGGTGTAAAGCATGCCGCCACTAGAATCTAAAGCAGTGGAGACATTTTTTTTGGGAGTGACGAATCACGCTTCCTCTGTCTGGCAATCCGATGGTCATGTCTGGGTTTGGTGGTTGCAAGGAGATTGGTACTTGCCTAGCTGAATTGTGCCAAGTGTTAAAGTTTGATGGAGGGGGATTATGGTGTGGGGTTGTTATTCAGGAGTTGGGCTTGGCCCCCTAGTTCCAGTGAAGGGAACTCCTATTCATCAACATACCAAGACATTTTGGACAATTTCATGTTCCTATCTTTGTGGGAACATTTTGGGGATGGCCCCTTTCTGTTCCAACATGACTGCGCACCAATGCACAAAGCAAGGTCCATAAAGACATGGATGAGCAAGTTTGAGGTGGAGGAACTTGACTGGCCTGCACAGAGTCCTGACCTCAACCCGATAGAACACCTTTTGGATGAATTAGAGCGGAAAGACTGTGAGCCAGGCCTTCTCGTCCGACATCAATGCCTGACCTCACAAATGCACTTCTGGAAGAATGGTCAAACCTTCCCATAGAACTCAATATTGAACCCTACGGACTAAGACTGGGATGCCATTGAAGTTCATGTGTGTGTAAAGGCAGGCGGCCCAATACTTTTGGCAATATAGTGTGTATATATATATATATATATATATATATATATATACACACTCACCGGACACTTTATTAGGTACATCTGTTCTATTGCTTGATAACACAGATTGCTAAACAGTCAATTACATGGCAGCAACTCAATGCATTTACGCATCTAGACTTGGTGAAGTTTGTAAACTGAGCATCAGAATGGGGGAGAAAGGGGTATTTAAGTGACTTTGAACTAGGCATGGTTGTTGGTGCCAGATAGGCTGCTCTTAGTATTTCAAAATCTGCTGATCTACTGGGAATTTTTCACTCACAACCATCTCTAGGGTTTACAGAGAATGGTCCTAAAAAGAGAAAATATCCAGTGAGCAGCAGTTGTGTGGCCGAAAATGCCTTGCTGATGTCAGAGGTCAGAGGAGAATGGGCAGACTGGTTTGAAATGATAGAAAGGCAACAGTAACTCAAATAACCACTTGTTACAACCAATGTATGCAGAATACCATCTCTGATTGCACAACACATCAAACCTTGAAGCAGATGGGCTACAGCAGCATAAAAACCACACTGAGTGCCACTCCTGTCAGCCATGAACAGGAAATGGAGGCTACAATTCGTACAGGCTTACCAAAATTGGACAATAGAAGATTGGAAAGTCTGTTGAGTCTCAATTTCAGCTGCGACATTCAGATGGTAGGGTCAGAATTAGTGTAAACAACATGAAAGCATGGATCCATCCAGCCTTGTATCCTGTTAATTGATGTGCAGCCGACAAATCTGCAGCAACTGCAGGATGCTATCATGTCAATATGGACCAAAATGTCTGAGGAAGGCGTCCAACACCCTGTTGTATCTATGCCATGAAGAATTAAGGCAGTTCTTAAAGCAAAAGGGGGTCCAACCTGGTACTAGCAACAAGGTGTACCCAATAAAGTGGTCGGTGAGTGCTTTTATATATATATATATATATATATTAAAGGAACACTTTTTAATCAAAGTATAGCATAAAGTCAATTAAACTCCTGGGATATTGATCTGCTCAGTTAAGTAGCAGAGGGAGTTGTTAATCAGTTTTAGCTGCTTTGGTGTTAATGAAATTAACAACAGGTGTACTGGGGGGCAACAATGAGCTGACCCCCAAAACAGTAATGGTTTTTACAAGTGGAGGCGAGTGACATTTTTTTCCCTGATCATCTTTTCTGACTGTTTTTCACTGGTTTTGCATTTGGCTAGGGTCAGTGTCACTACTGGTAGCATGAGGCGATACCTGGACCCTACAGAGGTTGCACACGCAGTCCAACTCCTCCAGGATGGCACATCAATACGTGCCATTGCCAGACGTTTTGCTCTGTCTCCCAGCACAGTCTCAAGAGCATGGAGGAGATTCCAGGAGACAGGCAGTTACTCTAAGAGAGCTGGAAGGGGCTGTAGAAGGTCCTTAACCCATCCTCAGGATCAGAGGAACAGGATGAGCACTGCCAGAGCCCTACAAAATGACCTCCAGCAGGCCACTGGTGTGAATGTCTCTGACAAAACAATCAGAAACAGACTTCTTGAGGGTGGCCTGAGGGCCCGACGTCCTCTAGTGGGCCCTCTGCTCACTGCCCAGCACCATAGAGCTCGATTGGCATTTGGCATTGAACACCAGAATCGGAAGGTCCACCACTGGTGCCCTCTGTTTTTCAGATGAGAGCAGGTTCACCCTGAGCACATGTAACAAACACAAGAAGCCATGGAGAACATTATGCTGCCTGTAACATCGTTCAGCATGACTGTTTTGGTGGTGGGTTAGTGATGGTCTGGGGAGACATATCCATAGAGGGATGCACAGACCTCTATAGGCTAGACAATGGCACCCCGACTGCCATTAGGTATCGGGGATGCAATCCTTGGACCCATTGTCAGACCTTAGGCTGGTGCAGTGGGTCCTGCGTTCCTCCTTGTGCATGACAATGGCGGCCTCATGTGGTGAGAGTATGCAGGCAGTTCCTGGAGGATGAAACAATTGAGTACTGACGTGATACTTTTTTTTTATTATTTGCACTAACATACAATTTTGAGGACAAGCTTTCGGGGAATGTCCCCTTCTTCAAGGTCCAGGCAGTACTGGAGGATGAAGAAATTAATACCATTGAAAGGTCCCCACACTCGCCTGACCTAAATCCAATAGAACACCTCTGGGATATCATGTTTTGGTCCATCAGCCGCCGCCAAGTTGCACCTCAGACTGTCCAGGAGCTCAGTGATGCCCTGGTCCAGATCTGGGGGGAAATACCCCAGGACACCATCTGTCGTCTCATTAGGAGCATGACCAGACGTTATCAGGCACGCATACAAACACATGGGGGCCTCCAAATTACTGAGGACCATTTTGAGTTGCTGCAATGAAATTTCAGCAAAATGGACTAGCCTGCTGCATAATTTTTTCACTTTGATTTCGGGGTGTCTTTGAATTCAGTGCTCTGTAGGTTGATATTTTTCATTTCTATCAAACGATGGGGCATCCTTGTGTTCCTAACACATTACCCATCCATATCAGTTTAGATATCCAGCATATTTTTCCCCATTGAGATCTGATGAGTTTTCAAAGTGTTCCCTTTTTGTGCATGACTTTCCTCTTTAATTTATGTCCCCTTTTGTCCAGGTGGATACATAGTACAATGTCACTCATGGCACGTAGTATTGGGATTAGCGTTAGTATAGTAAATCAAGGCAGCCCAATAAATTAAGTCTATCACAAAGGTTAATTGTACTGCAGCACCACAAAGGGAATAGAGTAAACTTTTGAAGATTCCAGTGTTATGACACACAAGTGTGAAATGTTTTTCAGCGGCCCGTTAGCAGTATTTGTTATTCTGTTACTGAAAAGTGGACATTTTGTTATAAATATTCTGAATGTTCCTATGTGCTTAGTGGTCTGACATCCAGGTGTTTTTAACTTTCAGTACTTGATGGAGTCGATGTGCTTGGTCAGCAAAGTAAAGGATAACCTACGAAGCCAAGTGCATACTTTCCTGAAAAGCTAATTGTCCAGACTGTCTTTAAAGTTTTAGGGCTGTGTAAATACGTTGCGTTAATCATTTCAAGGCAGCAGAACAAATATCAGGAACTCTGGCATATAGGGAATTAAGTTTGAGAAGTAAAAAGTAAACACAGTTGCGGTAGCTCTTTGTAGCAGGAGTTTTAGCAAAACACTGTGATTTACAGAATATGCAGTATCAGGGGAGGAAACACTCCCCTTGGGCTCATTTTAGGCCTATGCCTTGTATCAACAGCTCCCATTAGATACCCTCTTACTACAAGAGTCCTTCTGGCCTCCCTAACATTTTATCCTCATTCTGCCAAAGCCCCAATCGGAGACCTATCCAGCCCCTCCAACTAGTGGCCAAATCTCTGGTTCCCTTATACAGAATTACAGTTTTGAACCTACTTCCACAAGCTTACCCTCATGACCTTTATACAGGAGGTCCACCTTGACACCCCAGTCTAATTCACCTTTCCAGGAGCTTATCCAGGCCTTCCAACTAGTGGACCTATCTTTGGTTCCCAATACAGGATTCCAATACAATATTTTCACAAGCCTACCCTTGTGAACTCTACACAAGAGGTCCAACTTGACACCCCAAACTAATTCACCTTTCTAGAAGCCTGCTATTCGACTTACACACCTCCAGACATCTATCCTAAAGCAAACGTTTCAGTAAGTTTACAAGCTTGCATGCATAAATTCCTGCTATATCATAAAATGCCAATATGTTATAGTAACAGTACAATTTTACAAACTAGCTTTACCTTTTCTCAAATATTTGAGTTTCAAGTGAGTGTCTTTGTCTAGGCTGAGGCTGCCTAGGTTGAGATGCTGTTATTAGTCTTCTGCAGGCAGGAGAAAGCATTTCCTCAGTCTCCTCCTTGGCCAATCAGTGATCACATGATCGGGACCTCATACAGAGGTCCCGTCCGACGATTGGTGTTTCACTGTGTCCGGAGGACACAGCGGCACCGAATCGCGGTGCTGCGCACTCCCAGGGAGCGCGCACAGCTAGAAAAGGCGGGTGCCGTTTATGAACGGCAACCCGCCCCTGCACTGCCACCGCCCTGCAGTTTATCAACAGCAGGCGGACGGCAAGTGGTTAAAGTGTTACTAAACCCCGGACCCCACATTCACTATATCTGGTCTCCCACAGTACACACAACATGGAAATGCAATTATTTTAGTAAATATAAAACTGCTAAATACCTTTTCTCATCAGCAGTTAGAGCAGTCTTGTGACTTCTATCTGTGTCCAGCGCACCACTAGCTAAAGCTTGTAGGAGGATTTTATTTTCTGCTCTAGGAGGATGGAAATCCCCTGACCTCTGTCTGGACAGTGCTGATTGGCCCTGTGCTAATCACATGCACTCTCCCAAGAAAAAAAAAAACCTCTCTAGTAATGCACACCAAACTGAGCATGTGCATGTGACCACAGCTTCAGTCTGTATCAGGTGGTCATTTCAACAAGAGGAGGGGAAGAGAAGAAAGGATCAAACAGCCTTTATACACAATGCAGAGGATTAACCCCTTAGGCTCCACAGTGAGTATAACAAGCATGTTTTACTGCATATACAGACTGATTTTACTGTTGTGGGTTTAGTAACACTTTAATAACAGATGAACAAATAAAGAAAACAAAAGGGCATAAAGGCCTAGTGCAGTGGTCGGCAAGCCGCGGCTCGCGAGCCACATGCGGCTCTTTACAAACTTTAATGCGGCTCTTCTGTGTGCCGGGCGCCCGCTCCCCTCCCTCCTCTTGGGCGGCCGCCCCAAAAGTCAGGACTCTGCAGCTAGCCCAGCAATGGGAAAACTACGGTGCGTGGCAAACATTGGCTGTCAGGATGTAGGCGGGGCAGCGTGACGAACTCCTCTCCTCTCACAGTCCGCCCTGAAGACTGGAACGGCGCGGGAACACGGCGAGAGGAACGCGCGGAGCAAAGGTAAGTGAATTGACACAATATGGGGAATGAATTACTATAGGGGGGATGAATTACTATATGGGGGATTAATTACTATGGGGGATGAATTACTATGGGGGATGAATTACTATATGGGGGGTGAATTACTATATGGGGGATTAATTACTATGGGGGATGAATTACTATGGGGGATGAATTACTATATGGGGGATGAATTACTATATGGGGGATGAATTACTATATGGGGGATTAATTACTATGGGGGATGAATTACTATATGGGGGATGAATTACTATGGGGGATGAATTACTATGGGGGATGAATTACTATATGGGGGATGAATTACTATGGGGGATGAATTACTATATGGGGGATGAATTACTATGGGGGATGAATTACTATGGGGGATGAATTACTATATGGGGGATGAATTACTATGGGGGATGAATTACTATGGGGGATGAATTACTATATGGGGGATGAATTACTATATGGGGGATGAATTACTATGGGGGATGAATTACTATATGGGGGATGAATTACTATATGGGGGATGAATGACTATGGGGGATGAATTACTATATGGGGGATGAATTACTATATGGGGGATGGATTACTATATGGGGGATGAATTACTATGGGGGATGAATTACTATGGGGGATGAATTACTATATGGGGGATGAATTACTATATGGGGGATGAATTACTATGGGGGATGAATTACTATATGGGGGATGAATTACTATGGGGGATGAATTACTATGGGGGATGAATTACTATATGGGGGATGAATTACTATATGGGGGATGAATTACTATGGGGGATAAATTACTATGGGGGATGAATTACTATATGGGGGATGTATTTTCAGTTTTAAAAATGTGGCTCTCAAAATAAATTTCAATCGTGGTTTTGGCGAGATTTGGCTCAGTTGAAAAAAAAGGTTGCCCACCACTGGCCTAGTGCATTATCAGATCAAAGAAAAACATGAATAAATGTATCTTCACAAAAGCCGAAAGCTGATAAGCAATAAAGACCAGACCCAATTGGCAAAGTGACCCTCGTAGAGCGAAGTGTCAATACTCCCTGGCGTCACCGAGACTCGCCAGCTAACGCGTTTCCATAACCGTTTTCATGAAGAGGGCCCATCCCTGGAAATGCAATAGCTAGCGAGTCTTGGGATTTTGTAAATATGCGTTTATTCGCATTTATCTTTATTAAAAGTTTTATCTGGTAATGCACTAGGCCTTTGTGCCATTTAGTTTTCTCTGTCCATCTGTTGTCAAGAACCACTGAGTGCTGTGGGGAACAAAGCAGATCGACACTTTAGGAGGTGTGAACTGCACCACAGACTTCAGGCTCTAGTTTCACTTCACTGGAGCAGCGTTCAGTAGAGGCAGGCATCAGAAGAGGTAAGTATTTACTATCTCCTTTACTGGTACAGCCTCTAAATGTTAAAAGCAGAATTATACCCACTTTCCCTTCCTCCGAGTTCAGAATATATGGCCATCTTGGTTGGCTGGGATGATGTAACTTTTGCGCATGCACGCGGGAGTTTATTCATCACAGGACCCAAGGCATTCTGAGAATTTACTTTCTAAAGATTGCTAGCAGGCAGGTAAGACATTTATATTTCAGAATATACAGTACATAGTATAACTTTTCCACGACAAAAACCTGCCTGCTTGCCATTTTTTCATTTTACGGCATAGTTCAGATTTAATTTTTGCAACGATTTTGTATCAACACTCGTTTAAAAACGGCAAAGCGGTAGACAGTTATTTACCCGGTGTCATTTAGAAACACAAGTGGATAAAGCACTCTTGGGTGGCAGTTCTGCCTGTAAACCAAGCTGTCTTTGGATGGCTCCATTCTCAGGCACTAGGTACAGAAATGATCGGAGTGGCTCTGTGCCTTCAGATTGCTGTGATTGGCCATAAGAAGACCAACAGTGATGTAAACAATGTAAACAGTTGATGTAAACAGATGATTACAGATTAGAGATGATGTAAACAGTGGGTGTGGAGTGGACATATATCTAAGAGGAACAGAGGAAGGGAAGGAAACAGGAACTAATGGATGAATTCCTCATTTATTAGTTCCTGAGCATTGTAGAGATCACAACAGTAACACAAAGTAAAGTTTAACCCTTTCATCCCCTCCTCTACTACACATCTGATCTCCACATTGTCTCTGTATGTGACCTGTGTGCACATCTGTACGTTAACCTCTTCATCTCCATTCTCCCAATCAATGGTAGACTGACAGCTCATGGGGCCCCCAGGCAATAGGGGATCATGGGGCCCCTGTGTCCTTGCCCAAACTCAAAAAAGCCTATGAAAAAGGTACCAGGGGCATCTCATGGGGCCCCCTAGTGACCCCGGGCCCTCGGGCAGTGCCCAAGTTTCCAAATGGTCAGTCCGCCCCTGCTCCCAATGCATATCACCAGTACATACATACCATTTCCAAGCTCCATGTTTTAACTCCTCAATAGCAGCATGATTTTTCATTTCCAAAAAATTGTGGCAAGAAATAAGATCACCTTGGGTTTCTACTTTCAAAAAGGGGTAATTTTGGGGGGTTTCTCACTGTGCAGGAATTTTTGTTTTAACAAAAGTAAACAATTTTTTTCAAAATCCCTGTTTTATACCTATTAAATACCACCAAAAGAGAGATTTACTATTTTTTTTAAATTATATAAAATGAATCTGGGCACCGGGGTTGATTTACTAAATCTGTGCAAAAATGAGTTTCAGCTCAGCATAGAAACCAATCAGCTTCCAGGTTTTATTGTCAAAGCTTAATTTATTAAGCTGAAGTTAGAAGTGGTTACCACAGCTGCACCAGATTTTATATGCTTTAGTTTCAATAAAGCAACCCCACAGTGTTGCATGGAGGCGTAATTATCAGTCACACAGCACAGAAACCCAAAAAATGGCCTAGTAATAAAGGAATATATACAGGCTGGCACATTGCTCCCTTCGATCTGTTAAAGCCCAACACCGGGAAACACTCCCCCATCCCTTTGCAATAGGGCTGCACCCACACTGCAAGAGTTAACTGCTTGCATGTGTCTAGATGATGAGAAAAGCAGCTTTACTTATTTGGTCCTCCGATCCCTCGACAAATGTACTCCCCCATGCTTCAGTGGTGGACTTTTCCTCAGTGTACTCACACCCAATGCAAGCAGTGGTCCCTGCATTGGTCTTGATGATGCCAGAGAACCTTGGAAATCCAGAGCATGGGGGAGAAGAAGCTGCAGGGACCAATCTAGCAGTGCAGAGGAGCCTGCAGGAGCAGAGGATCAAGTAAGCCCTTCACCATGGCCCTCCTAGACTTAACTCTTGCAGTGCGGGTGCAGCAGGGGTAGATTTTTGCATTTCCTGCAGTTCTTTGTTATATTTTATTTATTTATTTCAGGTACTTATATAGCGCTGTCAATTTACGCAGCGCTTTACATATATATATTGTACATTCACATCAGTCCCTAACCCTCAAGAAGCATACAATCTAAGGTCCCTAACCCTCAAGGGGTGTACAATCTAAGGTCCCTAACCCTCAAGGGGTGTACAATCTAAGGTCCCTGACTTACATTCATATACAAGGGCCAATTTAGACAGGATCCAATTAACCTACCAGCATGTCTTTGGAGTGTGGGAGGAAACCGGAGTACCCGGAGGAAACCCACACAGGCACAGAGAGAACATGCAAACTCCAGGCAGGAGGTACCGTGGCTGGGATTCGAACCAATGACCCGAGTACTGCCAGGCGGAAGTGCTAACCATTTAGCCACTGTGCTGTTTGATGAGTAAAAAAAAACTGTTAATCTTGTCAGAAATCTAGAGCTGTCCTGTGTCTTCTGCATTTTTACTGTTTTATCTTAAGGAGCCCTTCTAGTTCTTATCTTGGACTACAAAATGATTTGCCTTTATGTTGTGGGGATCTGAGACTAGGAGTGGTTGAGCACTAGCAAAGGACAATGGGCAGGGCTGACAACACTTAGGCCACCAAAGTCCAGTGTGTTGTCAGTCCACAATGCTTAAGAGCTGAGTGTATCATTGGCAGATCAGCAGGTCTCTTTTTGTTTCCTTTTTTTAAAACTCTTAACATTTTTACAATTTTGCCATGATACTGAAAAGTTCAGTGTTTTTTCAATAATATCGGTGCAATAATATGTGGCCTCTTGCTGAATTTTAGATCCAACATTATGGAGCACGGACCATGTGCGACAGTGGCTGGAATGGGCAATTAAAGAATATGGACTACCAGATGTTGATGTCATGCTTTTCCAAAATATTGACGGGAAAGAACTATGCAAAATGACCAAAGAGGATTTCCACAGACTAACGGCCAGCTACAACGCAGAGATCTTGCTCTCTCATCTCCACTACCTCAGAGAAAGTATGCCAATCAGTTTTCATTTTTTATTTTCCAATAATAAATTACTATTTCTATTGGTGATCATTATG